TGTGTATTTTAATTTATATAAATTATGTGTATATGCATAAATTTTGATTATGTTAATATGCATTTATTTAGATTATGTGTCTATGAATTTATATAGATTATGTGTATATGCATTATATAGATTAGGTGTATATGCATTTATAAAGATTAGGTGTTTATGCATTTATATTGATTGGGTTTATATGCCTTTATTTAGATTAGGTGTATATGCATTAATATAGATTAGGTGTATATGCATTTATATAGATTAGGTGCATATACATTAATATAGATTAGGTGTATATGCATTTATATAGATAAGGTGCTTATGCATTTATAAAATTTAGGTGTACAGTATATGCATTTGTATAGATTAGGTGTGTATGCATTTATATAGATTATGTGTATATGCATTTATATACATTATGTGTATCTGCATTTAAATAGATTAGGGGTATTTGCATTTATATCGATTAGGTGTACCTGCATTTATATAGTTTAGTTTATCTGCATTTATATAGATTGGCTGTTTTGTATTTATATAGATTAGGTGTATATGCTTTTGTATTGATTAGGTGTATATGCTTATGTATAGATTAGGTTTATATGCATTTATAAAGATTTTGTCTATATGCATTTATATAGATTATTAGTATATGCATTTATATAGATTATGTTTATATGCATTTATATAGATTATGCGTATATGCAATTATATAGAGTATATGTATATGCATTTATATAGATTATGAGTTTTATGAATTTATATAGATTATATGTATATGCATTTATATAGATAGTGCATATTCATTTATATAGATTAGATGTATCTGCATTTATATAGATTCGCTGTCTTTGCATTTATATAGATTAGGTATGTATGTATTTGTACAGATTAGGTGTATATGAATTTATATAGAATATGTATATATGCATTTATATAGAATATGTATATATGCAGTTATGTGGATTATGTGTATATGCATTTATATAGATTATGTGTATGTGAATTTTTATATATTTTGTGTATAAGCATTTATATAGATAGTGTATATGCAATTGTATAGATTACGTGTAGATGCTTTTTATATATATTAGGTGTATATGCATTTATATAAGAGTAGGAGCATATGCATTTATATAGATTTGGTGTATTTCATTTATATAGCTTAGACTAAGGTATATATATAGATTAGGTGTAATTTAAAACTTATAGCAGATTAGGTGTATCTGTATTTATATAGATTAGTGAATCGCACTATAGATTAGTCCATCTGCATTCATATAGATTAGGTAATGTGTATTCATGTAAATTATGTTTATATGTGCAGTTATGGTGACAGAATGTGTATTCATAGATTAGGTGTATCTCCATTTATATAGCTTTGTACCTAACTGCATTTGTATAGATTTAGGTTTATGAAAAATTTATATATAATAGGTGTATCAAAAATGTGTACAGATTAGGTGTGAAGATTTATATAGATTAGGTGTATCTAATTTATATAGGTTAGGTGTTTTCTTGTGTTTATGTAGATTTTGGTGTATTCATTTATATAGATTAGCATCTGCATTTATATAGATTGGTGTATATGTTTTATATAGATTAGGTATATGCATTTATATAGGATTAGTGTGTATGTGCATTTATATGTTAACGGTGTATCTGTATTTATATGATTAGGGTTTTCTGCATTTATATAGATTAGGTGTATATGCTTTTATATACTTGTGTATAAGTAAGCTTATATAGATTTGGTGTATCAACATTTATATAGATTAGGTGTATCAGGGCCAGGCAAAAGGAGAGCATATTTATTTTTGGATCAGGTATTGTTTTTGACACTGGTTCTCTTTAGCTCAAGGGCCAGGCAAAGGGAGCATGTTTGTTTTGGACGTGTGGTTGTTTTTGTGGACACTGGTTCTCTTGGTTCAAGGCCAGGCAAAAGGAGAGCATGTTTGTTTTGTATGAGCATGTTTTTGACACTGGTTCCTCTTAGCTCAAGGGCCAGGCAAAGGAGAGCATGTTTGTTTTGGACTGTGTATTTTTTTTGACACTGGTTCTTTTAGTCTAAGGGCCAGGCAAAGGAGAGCATGTTGGAGATGGACTGAGATTTTTTGGACACTGGTTCTCTGATTTCATGGCCAGGCCAAAGGAGAGCATGTCGGTTTTGGCTGGTATTAATTTGACATTGGTTCTCTTTGTTAAGGGCCAGGCAAAGGAGCGTGATGTTCTGCTGGGTTGAGTTGGGCTAGGAAGAAATGGAGTTGCTAGTCAGTGGAATAGTACAGAGTTGAAGGTGGGTTCTGTTGTTCTCTCTGCACATGAGGGCAGTGCTGTTTTTTAGGGATGAGTGTTAGAGGGAGAGAAAAGAGAGAAGAGAAGACAAATGCTGCATTTAGCACGTTAAAGGAGTTTCAGGGTATATCTTAAATTGTGTACGAAACATAAACTATACATTAATTCTATTGAGCGGTGTAGTTGAAGGCTGGTGTGGGCCCTGTTGCTTGGCCTTTTTTTCCAGCACCTGACACGCCTGGTGTGCCAATCAAAGACAAAAAGTCGTCGCGGTTTTGTCTGAAGATTGTTATAACTCTTTTTGAAATACCGCGAGAGCTCCTACCACAAGGCGTAGAGCGCGCACTAAAAGTTTAGCCCTTCGGCATAAGTTTTTCACCAATTTCACGACACGATCTTTTGTTCATAATTATTTGTGCCTGTTAACCTCCCAGCCAGCTATTGCTGTACTGCTCGTTTTAGATATGCTTGAACTGTCTTAGTACCAACCAGAACATGAAACTTATACAAATGAATCAGATCGAAAACAGAGTCAAGTTCATACATCTGAGCAGATGAAAGGCAGCAATAGCTGGATGGGGAGAGTTAACGGAACTTTTTGGGTGAGACTGTACCACCTGATACTGCCAGGAGGAGATGGTCGGTCCTCCCGGTAGAGGTCAACCAGTTCTTAGATACTTCTGCTGCCCCTCTGCTGATGTCAGGGTTGCCGAGATGGATGGATGACACTGAGTCAATGGAAGGCCTCTGGTGCAGGGGTTGAATTTCACCCATCTCTGGCAGATGGTCTAGGAGTGGAATGAAGCACAGTTCTCCAGTAGTATTCAGCTGGTCCATCAGCTGGATGTGTTGTCTCTCGGTGTCGTTGGAGTTTGACGAAACCATTCAGTGTAGTGATCATCCATGTTGTTTTGGATGTCTAGTCCTGCTTTCAACAGTTAACTTCTCTGCTGGGTCTGAATCATTTCCTTGGCCTGTGGTTAAAGGCGTTAAAGGCTGGGTGGTCACACCTTTCAGGTAGCCTTCGTGCATTGTTGGTGATCACTAGGGATTGCTGTACGAAGTCTCTGCTGGTGTTGGCGAGTAGCAGGGTCTTGGGCATCAGTCAGTGAGTCTTAGACCAGCTGGCCAGGAACACCTCCACAATGTCCTCCATGCAGGCCACTCACCAGGGATGTAACTCCACAAGGGTTTCTAGGTATTTAGGCGTGATGCACCAACGTATGACATATTTTTAGTTTGTGTTTCCTTGAATCGGTTTGGTCTTTCAGACAGCTGCCTCCACGTTCGGGATGCACTCAACAGATAAGTTGAACCCCTGTCCACTTGTACCATCACAATTCCGGAGTTACTGGTGATTCACGGATTTAACAACAGCCAATAAGTTGAGGCATGTGTTGAGCAGTGCTGGTAGAAAAGCAGAGTGGTTGGTCTCCTTTATGATAGCTGCTGCCCCCCCTGAGCCGCGTTGCAGCCAATGTTGCTAGTCTGGTCAAAAGGCCTGACCTCTAAGGTTATTGATGTAAGGTCCACACCCCAGATGTTTGTCACCTTATCTGCAGTAAATCTGCCAGTTACCTCATTGTCACACTCCAGAAAGTCCACCAGGTCTTCTTCTGATGTCGTCATTAGAATCCACATACCTCAACACAATGTTGAGCTGTTTCTTGTGGTAGAAATAGTGATCTCAGTAGTTATGATAGAGAAAACTTGTTTGTCTTCACTTTCTGAAAGATAATGTAATACGTGATCTGTTCTCTACAAATGTGAACTCTAACTGGTTAAGTGGATATTCCAAGACGTGAACAGAGCATTCTGGTAGCCAAAGCTAGGTGCAGCTACCCAGAACCCTGCTCCAGTTTGCTATGTAAGTCAAGCAGAGGGCCAGAAAGTTGACATGATTGGCAGTCCCATCATTGGCAACGTCCTAGACATCTCTAGACCTTGCAGATAATTCTTCTGGCGGCCAAAGAGGATAGTAGTCATGATGATGACCTGGTGGGGGGGAGGGGGGGTGGTTCTGGGCAACTAGGAAAACCCCCTGCGTGCTCCTGATATATACACAGTATATGAATTACGTAATTGCTGCTTAGAACCTGTGTTTCTCATATATTTGGATCACGAGCACCTTACAGTGATTACATTTGTAAAACTATATATAAATA